TAACCTTACATTGGTATAGACTTCTAGATACCTTTTTCCTAATATTTTTTCTGTTAGAATCTGTTACAGGTTTCTTTTACAAATCTCTTTTAAAATTAATATCACATTACCAACATCCTTTCATCTCTCTCTCTCTCTCTCTCTCTCTCTCTCTCTCTCTCTCTCTCTCTCTCTATATATATATATATATATATATATATATATATATATATATATATATTTATATATATATAATTATATATAATACAGAGAGAGAGAGAGAGTTTTTATAATTTAGTTTGATTCCATTTGTTACAATGGAAATTCTTGGTGTGACATACTGTCTCTTTTATTTTGCTTCTAAATTACCCTGTGTGCAAGGAATGGCCGGGGTTACCATCCTCTGGCGGCGAGGGATTCGAACGCAGGTCAGCAAGATTGCTAGACGAGATCGCTACCGCTGCACCCCATGAGAGAGAGAGAGAGAGAGAGAGAGAGAGAGAGAGAGAGAGAGAGAGAGAGAGAGAGAGAGAGAGAGAGAGAGAGAGAGAGAGAGAGAGGTGTCTTTGAAGTTTCTAGTAAATTTAACTTCCCTCACACATACACACACATATTAACTTCTTCAACTTGCTCACTCTTACCTTATTGAACATGTCATAAAAAAAATAAAAAAAATTCTTGTTTTACTTTTTCTTTTTCTTATGATGTTCCCATTCCAGAAGCAAGCAAAGTACAACAGTCTAGGAGTTAACCCACAAGAGGTCAAATGTGATTGCATTGGTCCTGCTGATCGCCAATCAAACCTTCGCAAAGTCAGGTACTACATCCCTCCAAATGAAACGTCTCTGGAACAGCGGTACAGAGAGGCAAGGGAAGCAACGCAGGACTGGAACCAAAGCTTTTGGGCATCTCATAATGCTAAATTCAAACAGGTAATGGAACCTCTTGTTGTCTCGGGCTCTTTGTTATGTTCTTATTATAATTGTCAGTGTGCATAACATTGTAGTTTTAAAGGACTTTTTAATTTTTTTTGGCAGATATTTTTTTTTTCTTCCAATTTGCTGGAATATAATCATGTTTGTTCAGCTTAATTTTTACTTTTAAGTTTTTCTATACACTAGTTATGAGAAAGAGAGAATGAGTAAGGGAGGGTTTTAATGAGTTGATGCTGGGTGGGCAAATTTACATGTCATATCTAATGCCATTTTAGTTTATTAATTTTGTTTACACATAGATTGCTTCACAAATTAGTATTGAGAGTGAGAAATGTTTATACACCAACAAGTCGATTAGTATGTATTAACCTGTTAATGCTAGTATGACAAATATAAATCAGATCCACTATGATTTTAGTTTATTAAGTTTCTTTACATATAGATGGATCCACAAAAGCTTAGTCACCAAGGAGCTAATTACTAGTCCTGTCAGACCTTACATGAATACCCTGTTCTACGAATTTTGTTACAATTTTTTTTTTTTATGCTTTTAACATTACTAGTAATATTGATATTATTATTATGAAAATACTAACAGCAATTATCTACTTGGTGACTAAGCTCTTGTAGAGCCATCTATATGTAAAAAAATATATATATACTAAAATCATAGTCATTAAGCCATGTATGTTTGCCTTCCCACAGAGGGCAAATATACAGGCAATATTGTCTTTTTCTAAAATGGAACATAATGGGTTATCTTCCTGTATAAAAAAAAATATATACTTATATTGTATTAATATTAAGGAAGAAAATGTTATAACAGTTTTAATGAAGTTTTTAACATTTGATATAATTTCTTCTTTTGCACAGAACCTGTGTAATTACACCCTTGAAGGTTTGTGTTTAGTTAATATTAGGATTATGAAAATGGGATTGGAAGCTATATTAGCAGTAACAGTTTTCATTTATTTGCTCAAACAAAAACTGATTCATTTACGACACTTTAATCTCTCTTCATTTTGACTAGATGAAGGAAGAATTTGTACAGTTACGGCTAAAGGAGAAATACGGCAGCCAAGCGACAGAACGCAGAACCCTCTCAGCTGACGAAATGGCGGTATTCTACAAACAGTTCCTTGATGATCACAGGGTAGTACATCAAGAGTACAACAGAGAGTGGTACAAGAAAAATGCAAATAATATTCTCTTGGCTGCTCGAGTCTGGATGCAGCAGAAAGGGAAATCTCGCTGATAAACTATTCAAATTTATCTGAATTATTTGTAGATATTTTGTAAATGTTTGTACAGTGGGAAACATGTTTTTGCCAGCGTATAAGTATGCAGACTATTTCATAATATTATCCATGTCTATAGAGTTATCTTTGCTCTTCATTTGTGGTTTTTATTTCAGCCTTAGTGCATAACAGTTGCTGTGATGATTTTAGTTATTCACTGTGAATAATGCAACTCTTAACATAGAAAAAAGAAAAAAAAAATCCTTTTGAACAACTTGAAATAATTTGATATTTGGGTAGAAGTTTGTTTACTAAATTTGTGGATGATATAGAGTTTAACACAACTCT